GCCACTAAAATCACACCAAAATTAATTGGTGGGTTATAGTGAAAGATAATTAAGATTCATCTTCACTTTCCATCCACTGTTTGCAAAGCTCATTGGGAAATGCATATATGGTAGTAAGGTAGTAAATATGCAAGAAAGCTTCCTTTGAGTAACAGAGAAAGTCTTTACAGTTCAAAGATCATGTGTCCTATAGGTGCCACTTTATTGATTATGAAAGAAACTATGGTATGCTTGTATTGGCAAAGGAGTAAAACACCTAGTTGATGATCAGCTATGAAATGATTTAGGTAAACGAAGTGCTAGAGCAGAAGGGGAGTATGGGTGAGTTGAAGTGCAGTGGCAGTTTATCCACCTTAAACTACCGTGAGTGACCAAGACAGAATTTCTCCTTACGATATCAATACAATATCAAGCAGACAAGTGATGAGAATAAAGAGGAATTCTCAGAACTAAAATCATAAGAATTGTATGGAAGTCGGTAAGGAGAATTACTAAGGAGATCTTGGGAGTGAAAGGGTTAATAAACTTCTAGTCTATATTCAACTGAGTGTATTGTAGATGGTTTTGGTTGATGTATTGGTCAGGGTATTGGCAAAGGGTGATTAAGCCCAAAAGTAATAAGTGAGGCATGAATTTTACAGAATAGCAGTGTAAGGTGTGGTTGAGTTTTCACTTTTAAAATTTTTGATGCGTGAAATACTGTTTAATTAAAGTACATGGGTACTGGGCTGACGAAATTTGTTGGGTTCTGCCATAAGTCTCTACCAAATTTTTCATTGTCAAATTTTCAATTTCTCAATCATGGGTGCACTGAAAGAACAGCAAGATATCTGTTGACCAGAAAATGTCATTCACATGGATGACTTGGATGTAGAGAATTAGCTTAAATGTAGATCTGGCAGCTATGATAGTTGTATTTATTTTTTAGTATTCTGAGTGCTGATTTGTCATGTAGTATCCCAGGGTAAAAATATTCCATTTTCACTCTTTGGTTGCTGTGTGGAAATTAAATACTTTGGTGGGCTTCTGCCTGAAAGACTTACATCTAAAAGCAAGATCAAATTTTCTCAAATGACATTATTTTTGTTTCAATGGTGGCTTCCAAGGTGAAACATCTTACTATTTCATGCCTAACAAAAATTTTTCCTGTTCCAAAGTGGGACGACAGCATCTTTGAAGACTGGTAGGGCTTGACAAAAATTGTAGGACAAAAAATCACCAGGTGCCAAAGCTGATGTTTCAAGTGTTAGCCCTTCGTCAAAGCAAATGATCGATGAAACTGAATTATCTTTTATTACTCCCCAACCGATGTAGGATGAAAGTTTCTTTAAAAACATACCTCTTTATTTCACTTGATTCCATCTCCTTAATACTTCTCTAATAATAATAACTGCATTTAAATTTGCATTCATTGGTCTTTTTAGGTAAGGTTGTGTACACTGGTGTAACATTTGCTGGCCAAGTTGGTCTTTTGACTGCACAGAGACCAAACAGCGTCACCATTAGTTTGGATGAGAGAGACCGAGGCCATATATGGGATAACGTCTTTGAAGCTATCTTTAATAAAAATGCAATACCTGTCACATTTCTGATTCGAGATGTGGTCAGCACAGAAGGAATCGACTTTACTCAAGCTGTGAAGAAGCTATCTGAAGTGTCCTTAATAGCTGATGGGTACTTGATTGTGGGAGGAGTTCAAGTCGGAGAAGGTGCCGTGGTAACACGAAACAGAGAAAGTACTGCTGACATCTGGAAGCTGAGTGAAGATGCCGCTAAGAAACCGTACGTATTTAACAAAAAGATTCCATATTGCTGTGCATCTGTTCAGTAACAGATCAATCTCAGATGGTGTAAAAATGTGATTTGAATGAAAAACACAAGGTGCAGCCGAGTGTGTCACTGATTTTCCTTTACTACATTATAACATTAGTTGTGATCTATTTATAAACAAACCGATAGCAATATGGAATCTATTTATTTTATATAAATATATTAATTAAAAAGCAAAAAGTTGTTGCTAATTACATCATATGCATCTGTCCATTGCTTTAGCAAGTCTGGTGGCTCCTTTTTCAGACATACTGAGATTTTTTTTACTTACTGACCAACACATTTCAAAGATTGGAAACTAACAACATTTTATCTTCATTTTATTTCCTTTTACATTCTGGGCCCACTGTAATTGGCTGTGCTTTTGTGGTGTCCCTGCCATTTTTTTTAGTTTTTTTATCATTGATTGTCATTTTTTCTTTTTTGTTATTTATTGTGATTGTTGTTGTTTGGTGAAGTTAATAAAAAATAAGTATAAAATACATTGTTCATCCAATCAGAGACATGAACGATAGTTCTTCAGGGGGTAAATCTCAATATGTATGAAGTAAAGCATCTTTATTGAGGCACTACTCGAGATTTTTTATTTCCATTTCTTTTTAAAAACTGCTTTTTCCAAGATTTGAGTTGCCAAACTTGAGGTGCAGCTTATTTGTGAGTGTGGCTTTAATGCCAGTGTTTATGGTATTTTGAAATCCCAGAAAAGTGAGAAAATAATAAATAATAACTATAATAAATAATAATAAATAATTTGGCAATGGACATTCCACTGGGTGGCTCTTCTTTGTCCACTGTTTCCAGATCGAATTGGAATTTGGAATGTTGGTTTTTGCGGAGGGAGGAAAACCGGAATACCCGGAGAAAAACCCTCAGAGCAAGGACGAGAACCAACAACAAACTCAACCCACATGTGACGCCAGGTCCGGGAATCGAACCCTGGCCACAGTGGTGGGAGGCGAGTGCTCTCACCACTGCGTCATCTCTGCTCCCCGTGTATGTGTAAATTATGAGATTTGAAGTTGCAGGAGTTATGTTACAGTGTTGCTTTGAGAAGAGGAAGTTACCTTTGTCTTATGAATTATGAACTCCCTTCTTATGGATAATTACACCATAGGAATAAATCTTTTACTTTTAATTAACCATTTAACCTCTAAGAGTGACCAGCATCTAATTTCTTCTCACAGTGGCACCCCTGAATCACACAATGAGGTCACGGGAATAAAGAAAATGATCACCAACTAAACATACTCTTGGTTGTTAAACAAATTCTCCTTGTCAGCGCGTTAAGAAATGTATAGAGAAAAGTGTAGAGAAGATGCACGCTGATACACTGATAGTAGGTTGTAAAGGGTTGAAATAAGAAACTGATTTTTCTGTGTTTGTTTGATATGCAGGTGGTACCTTGTAGAGACCAATTATGACCATTGGACCACACCCCCTCCATCAGATGATCGCCGCCACCCGGCTGAGAAAGCATTGCAAAAGTTGACTCAGGCAAAGCTCGCTCCAGATTCACTGTTCGGTGTGATGTCCATCCACCCTGTACTGAATAATAAGACGGTCTACACGACTATTATGCAAGCAAAAAAGGCTGATGTTTTCAACACTTGGATTCAGAAGCCGTAACACAATGATCCTGTGTTGTTTGGTGAACCTCTTATTTTCTTGGAGATAATTCGTGCGTAGTAGCAAATAAAAGGTATGCCACGTCGTGCACCTACCAGTAATAGTAGAAAAAGAGGAAGAAAACAAATTGCTAAAAAACGTAAATGGGAGACAAGTTAGATCTCATAAATTTAAAGAAAGATGATGCAATCTTTTTTGTTAACTTATATTAGACAAAAAAAAAGTGAAAGAAAAAAAACTGTTTCTCGAGTAACGAGGAAAGTAGCCTCCCCAATATGGATAACACAGTTTTAACAATAGCAAATTTCTTATCCAACTATTCCCCGTAGAGTACAAATAACGGCCAAGACGAGTACTAGTATCACGCGATATTTGTACTCCAGTGAACCCGTTAGACAGGTTTTCTCGCATCACGCAAGCAACGAATTGGATTGAAGTTACTAAAAATAATGGCGGATAATTTAAATCATTTTTCTGACGAAGGGGAGTCGGAATGGCTGGCGAATATTGATCCAAGTTTATTAGATAAATCGAAGGAAAAAAGCAGTTAGATGACAATGAAATGTCATAATTTATTGAAGAAAATAGAAACAGCGACACGAGACGCGCCAATTCCGTTCCGCTTCGCATACTTCTGTCACGCACTCCCCGTAAATGAATACCCGCGAAATTCGCCAGCACTGAAATAACAATTTGGCGCGTTGGATAATAAATAACTTATTAGACGTTTTGGTGTGTCGTATCGCTGAGTATTTTTACTCGTCATTTGTATTTTGACTTGCCCTACTGGCTCGTCAAAATACGACGCAACTCGTAAAAATACTCAGCGATACTACACAACAAAACATCTAGTAAGATATAGGTATTTTGTTTCAGTTTAGTGTAGAGATTTTTTATTATTTTTTACAAGCAAGGTTGAGTCTGCATAATAACTGACTAACATTGCTGGAAAGACAAGGAACTGCTAGATAATCAGTAACACAATGACTTAACAACTACATATGAGTCGTTATAAAGAGAGATTGTTAAATAGCTAGCAGCATAGTGACACAACTCATTGTGTTACTGGCTTCCTCAAATTTGATAATATATATGTTAAAATTCTTCCTCGTTAGTGATAGACTGCTAAAAAAGTTTTACATTTATACTATAGACCAATAAAACAACGAGATTTGTGATTATCAATCAGATTTATCATCACGGGTTTATTACGAATCAACTTAACGGCCTGCTTCCAGTTGGCTTGTTAGCTCAATTGGTAGAGCGCTGCACTAGTATCGCAGAGGTCAGTGGTTCGAATCCCGTACAGGCCTGATTTTTTTCAGGTCTGATTTTCGCTATTGCATAAATAGCGCTCTCTACTGCGAGGATCGTGCATCATACGTATCTACAACCGCAGTTCAAAATATATGAACTTCACATATTTATATACATACATACATATGTTAATTGACCACTCCCATGGGGGCTTTTCAGGGCCAATTCCCACCCAGCTACTACCCCAGGGGAGGACATCCATCACACAGTAATCTCGTGCGTGGGAAATTAACGTCTCCTGCCCCTAACCCTGCAGGAGACGGGACCTCCATTTATTCGTCCCTATCCGAGAAGACTAGAGTATCTAACCAATTTATTGATACAGAAAGGTAGCATATTCTTCTCGCTTGTTTTAAGACCTTGAGTGTTGGTCCGGCCGGGGCTCGAACCCTCGACCTCCCGAGCACAACAGTCCAGCGCTCTATCCATACAGCAAACTGGGAGGCCGCTGAATGAGTAGCTGGCCCCTTGAATGATTATGACGAGAAAATAATTCCCTGATAGGGCCATCTTGCCTTGTGCTGTCGCTGTTGATTTCCTCTCTGAAAAAATTAAGCTATCGCAACATATATAGGATGCTTTTTGCTTCATCCTTTTCCCCTCCTTATTTTGTTACTGCGTTTACGTCGTTAGTGAGTTTCAGGCTGGCCTTACGAGACAGAAAAAACTTCACACAGCACTTACAATTTTTACACAAACCGTCTATTATCATCACAATAAATTTCCTATCATCCACCCTGGCTAAAGTTTGAATTGGATCGAATGAAAAACAAAAAACAAACAGACAAACTAAAAGGATGTCTCCTGAACATTTAACAGTCAGATCGTAACCTTGAGTCATCCTCGCACGTACCGGCCTCGAACCTTAATCATATTTTTAAAAGAAAGATAAGGTAAGCTCCAAACAAGGCAGACTGAAAACATTTGTATATTGCGACAATAGGGAACATCTGAGTCATAACTGATAACCCGTAAAAGAAAATTAATACATCGAGATCAATAACTTTTTTTTTTAATATTCGTACTGGGAGTATGACTGACATAACAAGTCACCTGATAGCATACCTGGCATTGAGTGGTTGTATTAGCTCCCTGCCAGGGTAGTGTAAGTTAATCTTTTTTATAGTACTGTAGTCAAACCGTCACTATCAGATTGCTCCACACTGAAAATGAAACTCATCATGAGTCAAAAATCAGAAAACAGTTACTTCGCTGAAGGATAGTCACGCTCTTCTCGATCAAGTCCACGCCATGGTCGTCACGTCCGCGATCATCGCGAAAGAACTTACAACTCTCACAAGTGACTTGTGATTTCGAATCCTTTTCAAAACTTTATTTTTGACTTTTAAAAATTTGAGCTGCTTAATTCGAGGTGCGGCGGCTTATACACCAGTATATACGGCATTTTGAAATCCCACAAAAGTTAGGAAATATGTGCACATAATTAGGAGGTTAATGTGAAGATGACAGTCTACACGACTATCATGCAAGCGTGCAAAAAATGCTGATCTATTCAACACTTGAATTCAGACACAATAACATAATGATCCTGTAATGCTTGTTGAGCCGCTCATTTTCTTGGAGATAATTCAAGCTCAATCTAAACCCTTAATTAACTCTTATGAGTGACCAAAGTAGAATTTCTCCTAAACAAAATCAACACAATTAATATCAATAGACAACTGAAGGAGAATAACGAAAATATAAATGAGGGGATTATTAGTTGATCCAATGCCATATTCTCCGAAGTAACATCATCAGAATTGTATGACAGACACAACCTCGTTCCCAGGGTCTTTTCATTTGGCCAAACTCCATCCCCAAAAAGGCCCTGGGAACGAGGTTGTGACAAACAGTAAAAAAATATCTTATGACATGACGAGAGTGAAAGGGTTCGTAGCAAAGAAAACATGTGAGACATTTTGCACTTAATTGTAGAAAAAGAAGAAAAAGTGCTAAATTAAAGAACCTAAGTAAGAGACAAATAAGATGCAGTTTTCACAATAGCGTAATTAAGATGGTTTATATAGTGATGATTTAATAATAAATATTACATCGCAGTCAAAGGACTGAATTGCATAATATTTTACAATGATATGCTATGTTATAAGAAATACATACAGTAATATAATAAATAATTACAATTGCATCAGAAACAATAAAAAGATAAAATATCACTAAGATCGAGTAATGCTAGGCAAGCTTGATCAATGGAATGTTCACACAGAGTTGTTTGCAAGCTGGCACATGCTCGGGATGAAGGACCGCTGAAAACGCTTGGTGCGCACGCCAGGGAGGCCGTACTTTCTAATTCTCCTTAAGTTATGATGGTTTACATGATTCGTAGGAAATAAGTGAGATAGTTTGTGGTCATTAGAGATTGCATCAAATAGTTTATAACACTGACTGTTCCTCGCGCCGAGACTGCAATGTGTCTAAATTATAGTTACTCAAGCATGGACTGTAAGGACAATTCGGTAAGATGATACTTAACGCCCTTTTCTGTACTCGTTCGATATCATTACTTAAATACTCGGGCAATGCATGGCGAAAAACGGGCGAACAATATTCCAGGACAGGTCTAATAACAGTGCAGTAAAAGTTGATTATATCACTAGGGTCCACTCCCTCTCTCCTGAAGAGAACCCAAAGATATAATCTCTTATTTGCTTTCTTGATAGCCTCATATACTGACATGATCATTCCACGTAAGATCATTAGAGAAAGTCACACTTAAGATCTTGGCGGAGCTAACAACAGAGAGATCCTTCCCATTAACGGTTACGGGCTCGAAAGCATGCCTGTTCATCTTAAAGTCGATGTTTATGACTTTATACTTATCGGCATTTAGCTAGGGTCATTCGTTAATCGCTCGATCAGGATAATAAGACGGTCTACACGACT